GAGGTTAGGACTGTTTCGTTTTGACTGATAATACGCAGTTCCAAGAAATTAAAAGGTAAGGCTGATGCTTCATTGGATATACCTAGTAATTAGGAACGAAGTTTGTGAGTGTGACGTACTGTTCTTACGTACAACTTACTCTCCATGTTCTTTTACGTACAGTATTTTGCCTTAGTCTTTCAGACCTGAATTTAGTAGAGGGCGATTAAGTGCCTGGGACTAGCAGTGTTGCTCTATGTCATAAGGATTATGAGCATCTGAACCTTAATGGTAGTTGATTTTTCCTATTAGCCGACTCACACCTGTTTATTGTTTTTATTAGTAGCTAGCAGTAGCTAACAGTGGAGAATGGCAGTATGTGATACAGCACGTGCCAGAGGGTTTCTGATGTAGGATGTGGCTTGATTGTGTTTCTTAATGCTGTTGTGACTAATGGTGGTACCAGCAATGAGAGAAGTAAGCAATTATGAGAAACGTGAAAGTAAATAAATACTTGTTCATTAACAGACAATATCCTGACCACTTATTTTGCAAGACAAACTTTAACAGCTATCCCATAGAACAGTGGGAGGGAACAGAGGAGGATGATCTAAGAAGTTCAGATTGTGACATGGAACTTCTGCAATATGGATTTTGGGCAGACAGGTAAGTTTTTTTTTTCAAAATAACTATTGTGTTTTGTAAGTGATAGTAGAGGAGGTAAGTAGGTTTATTCAGAAATGCTTGTCAGTGGGTTCACTTTATATGGCCTGAGCCAACTTCTGTCATAATTTGTAAGATAATGTTGATACAGTATTTGAGATAAAAATGTAGACTTAGATCTTACCTTCTTTCTCTAATAATAATAAAAATACATGTGAGCAGTTCCTTCCAGACTATGAAGCAAAAACACCAGAAACCTAATAGTACCTTTGTAAAGGGAATTTAAGGGGCATTCATCTAGTCATTGTTTTATTACCTGTCTTGATTAATTTTAATTGATAATTTTAAATTAATTAAAATGTATGTAAGGTTTGTTTGGCATTAATTCATTTAATTGTGCATTTGTCTTTGACGTCTGTAGCATAGAGGGGTTTATTCCAAGATTGACTATGCCATCCATAGTGTTAACTAGAAGGGGATCGCACTGGTTCAAAATTTTTGTTAGCACTGTCTTAACTCCTTGCTCTCACGTATATAACTATGGAAGTGGAGTCTTTGTGTTAAACAAAAGAGCGATGGAAATGATGATACAGAAGACAGGACTAGCTGATCTAGCTCCTTGTATGTTTTCTCAAGACAGGAAGGCACACCATAATAGGGCTTATGTCCAGCAACTTTCAGTGGCAATACTGCTAGTTTGTAGAATATTTAGATTATGTCATGATTGTCTTATGAACTCTGTGATGTAATTGTAGCCGTTGTTTTTCATGGATAGCTATAGGTTACGTGATCAAAACATTGACATGATTTTCTTCTTTTCCCCAGGTCCTGGAAGAAATATTTGTCTGCTTTGCATAATACAACAAAGGGATGTTATTCTTCAAATTTGATACCTGATGTTTACTTCCCTTGGTATCAATATGTTCTACATCTAGAGCATCATGATTGCAAGACTCGTGAAGCTTTTAATAGCTTCTTTCTTCAAGATTCTGCTTATGGTCTTTCAAGCTCAAGAGAGAAAGGAAATAAAATCAAAGGAGACAGACAGTGGAAAACCATACATTTAGAGTTCCTAAAAGACTGTGTGGAATTTGAGTGTAAATCTGTGACAGGTTTTAGTGCTTTATTCACTATATTAAGTGAGAGCAAAGGACTGGTTATTGTTCTGTGGGACTTGGAGACTCAAGATATAATATGTTCTTGTGTAGGCAAAAACTCCTCTTTTTTGGAATGCAGTAGGGAGGAGCAATTATGTGGCATATTTTCAGGTGAGCATCATTAATTATAATTGAAAACAGCTTTAGAAGTAATTCAAGGAAGTTGTGCAGGCTGACAATTCCTGATATCCTATGTCTGTAATTTCTCTTTCTTATGATAACCCTTAGAACGTGGTATTTCCTTGCTTCTGTTTCGCTTGACCCAAGAAGAATTCTTGAATAGATTAATAATCCATGGAAGTGCTGGAACAGTTGATTCTCTTTGTCGGCTCAATGGATGGGGAAGGTGCTCTATTCCAGTACATGCTTTGGAGGTAAAGAAAACAATGGGTCTTGACATTTTGTACCTGCCTACATTTTGTTACTGTCCCAGATGTTTCCCTGGATCCTATGGGGACCTGACCAGCCCTTCTATGCCACTTTTGTCTCCAAATCGGGTGGTATCCTTTCTAATCCAATAACAAGAGGATTTACTTTTGTCCTATTTTGGAAAATAGAGCTGGACAGCTTAAGGAGACAGTAAACGAATGTTTACTGTCCCCCAGTTTACTGCCCCACAACAGTTCCTATTTTCTAGTAAAGTGCAAAAGTCATAATATTTAATTACAGATGGGGCCTGTAACAAATTTGAAATAGTAACTGAGACTACATTGGATTCGCTTGCTTCATTCAGCATCACAGAGGATGTTAGTGCAGCTGATGATGATGCAACTGTAGCTGTCTGTTCATGCATATATTACTGGAACTGGGATTGTTCTGGGAGGCTTTTTCTACTAGTTCTTTGAGAAGTCTTGTGAATTTTTAACTTCTTCTAACTGCAAAGTGCATTGAGCAAATAGAGCAACACGTTTTATTAACTATCCTTTTCCTGTGGATGGAGAATATTCCTAGATGTGCTTCTAGATGATAAAGCTTCGAGTTTGGAAGTTAAGGCTGATGCAGGTTCATTCCTATTGAGCAAGAACCATCCAGTAGGTTATGCCAAAACACCTGGACCCTTCACAGTTGAATCGGAGCAGATATAATTTTAGTTCTCCCCTGGAAAAATATAGCAGAAATGGCCATCCCATTTCACACCTTTAAATAGAAGGACATAGTGGGGAAGTTCATTCTGGCACAGCCACACAGTTTCTAACTTTCCATGAGTCCTAAGACTAGGGTGAGGTATGGTATGGGTGGAGAACCAGTCTGGGGTGACCTAATCCCTTCCAGCACCCCACCATAGTTCCCTAACTGAAATATAAACTGTAATATTTTAAGGTGGGGAGTGCAATCATGGGTTCATAGCTGAAGCTCCAGAGCTGCCTGAGTTCCCATGTCAGGATTCAAGATATCTGTCAAAGTGTTCCTTTGCTCTTCCTTTACTGAAAAGTATATATATTTTTTAAATATGGATTTGCCTCATTCTCTCACTACCAGGTTAGGCACTGCTTGGGTTTCCACCCAGAGGCATTCCTGTACTTAGTTTCCTATTCTTCATTATTCTCTTCCTAGAAAAGGCTTGCAAGCTGTGCTGCTTCTGTAACACAGAGACACATTTTGGCGTCCAGGAAGATTTCTATCCTAGCTGCATCCATTTCTCAGGGTACTAAACCACAGCATACAGCTAGCTTACCTTGGTAGCTTTTTGAGGGTGATAATGAAGGACAACTTCTGCTTTACCCCTAATTAAGATAGTGAAATGGTGCCCTATTAATTAAACAGTTAAAGCAGGAAAGGACAAAATTATACCATCTGCTTTGTTTTCCCCTGATACCTGGAGGCCTGTGAATTGGAGGCCAGGTAGAAAATAGTGACTCAGAAACGTAGACATAGAATTGTATGTGTTGCTTCTGTGCAAATATTAAGCCCTGGATTTTTTTTAATTAAAAGAACTGTGGCTTGTACACAAATCCTTTCACATATATATCTACTAACATTCTGACTCAAATTTTCTTGAGATCTTAATTTAGCAAGAAAAGGCTGCTAAGGAGAAACTCTTGTTGATCTACTACGTATTGTTTGAGATCTACTCATAGCTCCCAATATAGTTTGCATTCAGTGCTATCATCACAGTTAGATTTGGTTCACAAGTTTTTAAAAAAGTGTTTGGTGATCCACAAGACTGTGTTTTAAGTTAGATGATGGATTCAAAAAAGGTCATGTAAATCAATTTTAGTAAGTGGACAGAACCTAACTCAGCATTGTTTAGTTTCTCTTGCCACTCTTAATTCATTTAAGCCAGACACAGTTCTAAGCCCAAGAGGAAGCCTCTAAAATTTGAGTACTTAACAGCAATAATCGATAAAGTAAGAGAAGTCTCTCTTACTTACTTTCTTTTGACTACATGCATGGACTATCATCTCCCTCCCTATAAGCAGCATACTTAGGTGTCTTAGGTATCTTGTAGAAGGCTGGACATCAACAAACTCATTATTTTTCCCCTCAGAGAAGTAGCTGTGTTAGTTTGTACAAGTATAGCCAGACAAAAACAGAATAAATAAGCTTTTGATAATTGGTCTTGTTTAGTTGTTAAGTTGTGTCCGACTCTTCATGACCCCGTAGACCAGAGCATGCCAGGCCCTCCTGTCTTCCACTGCCTCCCGGAGTTGGGTCAAAGTCATGTTGGTAGCTTCGGTGACGCTGTCCAACCACCTCGTCCTCTGTCGTCCCCTTCTCCTCCTGCCTTCACACTTTCCCAACATCAGGGTATTTTCCAGGGAGTCTTCTCATGAGGTTGCCAAAGTATTGGAGAGCCTCAGCTTCAGGATCTGTCCTTCCAGTGAGCACTCAGGGTTGATTTCCTTCAGAACAGATAGATTTGATCTCCTTGCACTATTTTAAAAATAGTGGCACCTTAAACACTAACTGATGTATTCCAGTGTGAGCTTTTGTGGACAAATCAACGTCATCAGATGTGTTCGAATGAAGAGAAGCCAAAGATATATACCAGATGGACACAAGAAGGTGACAATAATAAAAAATGTATCAATAATTGTATTATCAGAAATGCCATTGTCACCTTTCTGTGCCTATCCAATATACACCTGTAGCTTCTCATCATTTGAATATGTTTGATGAACTGGATTTGTCTGCAAAAAAGGTCACAATGGAATATAGCATTTAGTCTTTGATGTACAGCTATACTCTTTGTTTTTTTATTTTATTTGAGTATATGTTGTTGTTTTCCTTTCTGTCCTTTGTTTAACAAAACAATATATCTTTTGGAGTAACTGGTGAGTTTTATTCTGTGTGGATCAATCATCTTTTCATTTTACCTTCTGCTATGGGAACTGATGGTAGAGGAACTGGAACAGGCTGCAAAGGAAAAGAAATAGCCTCTGATTGTTCTGATCATAGAATGAATTAGGACAATTTTGCTCTTTTGTCAATGAAGCTTGCTTTGTGAGAGTTGTAAACTCCTTTGTGAGAGTTGTAAAGTGGCTTCTGTGAACAAATTAAATAGACAGTAAAACAGATGAATACAAAGGAGCTGGGCTGTTTTTAGTGGAAGGGGTGACATGGTGCCCTCTTGTCTTCTTAGTGCATCCCTGATCTATCTGTCTTTGGGAATAGCACTGCAAATTTTCACTCTGTGGATTCATCCAAGCACCAGACATAACTGGAAACCTGGATGCAAAGAGGAATCTATCCCTGTTCATGGGCACATCCGGGAATTCTTCTGTTTGAAAACAGTTTCTTCCTTCTGTTTTTCTCTTTTCTCTTTGCTTTGGTCCTTTCATTTATCATGGATTAGTTAACCTTGGAAATAAAAGGTGTCTTCCCTGCCTCTGGACAGAGCCCATTGGAGCCCACTGTGTGTTGATTGCTTAGAACCCACCTTCATAGTCTTACAAGCCTGAACAGAGATGATTTTTTTTCTTCCATGGGTATCACAGAAGCATATATTAAACTTCCAACTTGTACTTCTCATTACCGTTTCCAGTATGCTGTAGGAAATTTCAGTTCAAAGCCCATCTTTTTGCCCTCCCCTTGGCCTCCAGGATTTTCAGAAAATCATGGTGGCTTATCTTTAGTTTGTTTTATCCATATTGCAACTGTCTCTTAATCAGTTCTCCTTGGTTCTAGCAGGAAGCACTAAATCATCACATAGCCTTTTAGCAGAATTGATAGAACACGGAATGAATGAGCTGAACACCAACTAGAGCTCTTTTGAAGAGCCTTCCTTGTAGTAAATCATATAGCCTTTTAGCAGAACTGACAGAACACGGAATGAATAAGCTGAACACCAACTAGTGCTCTTTTGAAGAGCCTTCCTTGTAGTAAAAAATGTATTCCTCTCTGCTCTCGTTGCATCTGCACAGAATTATCCAGAGGTCAAAAGCCTCTTATACTTTGGTCCATGAGAAGAGAATGGAATTTATCTGTGATCATTGGTCTTTCATGTACCTCAGCATTTTCTCTTGTCTCTGCTTTTCAGTTCCCTGTGCCATATAAAGTTTACATGTATGTTTTTGCTTTTTTTGGTACTTTTTAATTTTTGCAGATTTTGTTTTTTAAAAAGATAACAAAAATAATTTGAACTAAAAAAGAAATAAAATGTGAAACAGAATGGAAAAAACATTAAGAATAAATACAGTAATATTAGTGCTGATTATAAACCACCATTGTAATTTTTGCTATATGAATAGGGTTGTAACCATCACTGTGTATATCACAATTTAAGCACATAAATTAGTGTAGGCCTTCCAGGTGCATGGAATTGGTGCCTATATAATATATGTTAAAATGTAGCTAATTTTAGTAGATCTTCTGACCATTGTGTAGTGGATGGTAAATGTTTATTCTTCTAAAGAATACGAACATCTGCAAATACCAGAAATGTCTCCAGTATAGCATTAATGCAAACAATTACTTCATTCCAAAATAAATAAATTGCAAGACAAGCCCACATTGTATGTCTTAAGGATATATTCCCTGTGTTACATCTCGCCTGTCAAGAGTCTGACTGTCCCTTCCTAAACAACCATTGTAGAGTCTGATATATTCTAAATACTATTTTTGTTGGGTCAATCTCAATTTAAAATCTAAGGAGAAATCCTATATAGATTCTAACGCAATTTTTTATTGTTTAGGTTGCCTATTGCCTTTAAATTCTGTATTCCACATCTTTTAAGCTCTTGAACAGTATCGCTAGTATGCTGATAACATTAAATTTTTCTTTTCTTTCATAGTAAATCTAAGGAAGTTGTTTTAGTTTTAAATCAGATTCTTATGTCAGTAATAGACTTGAATGAGGGCGTACAAACTGGAGCTTAATCCAAACAAGGCAGATATAGATCTTGTTGTTGTTAAGTCATGTCCGACTCTTCATGGACCAGAGCACGCCAGGCCCGCCTGTCTTCCGCTGCCTACTGGAGTTTGGTCAAATTCATGTTGGTAGCTTCGATGACACTGTCCAACCATCTCGTCCTCTGTCGTCCCCTTCTCCTCTTGCCTTCACAGTTTCCCAACATCAGGGTCTTTTCCAGGGAGTCTTCTCTTCTCATGAGATGGCCAAAGTATTGGAGCCTCAGCTTCAGGATCTGTCCTTCCAGTGAGCACTCGGGGTTGATTTCCTTCAGAATGGATACGTTTGTTCTCTTTGGAGTCCAAGGGACTCTCAAGAGCCTCCTCCAGCATGACAATTCAAAAGCATCGATTCTTCGGCAGTCAGCCTTCTTTATGGTCCAGCTCTCACTTTCATACAACACTGCTGGGAAAACCATAACTTTCATTATGCGGACATTTGTTGGCACGGTGATGTTTCTGTTTTTTAAGATGCTCTCTAGGTTTGTCTTCGCTTTCCACACAAGAAGTGGATATCTTTTAATTTCATGGCTGCTGTCACCATCTGCAGTGATCATGGAGCCCAAGAAAGTAAAATCTGTCATTGCCTCCATTTCTTCCCCTTCTATTTGCCAGGAGGGGATGAGACCAGTGGCCATGATCTTTTTTTTTTTTTTTT